CTTTTGTCTGAAATTACTATAAAATATTATGGGTCAATCTGCTAAATTTGCATGAGAATCCTTATTAGGGTAGAATTCAAAAAATATGCCGAGAAGTTCCAAATTTAGTACATTTCGATTTTTTATGTTAAATTACTACTATGATATAATTTTCTGCAAGAAGCATTGAAAATTATACCTTTTCTGTTTTGTGTGTACCTCGCTTTTCGTTATATGAGAAAGTTTAAAATTTGCCCCAGCTGATCCAAATTTTCCACACCAACTTAGAATGCTTAAGTACTGTTACTTAGCAATTTTTGCTGAGAAATTTTGAAAATTACAATTTTTTATCATATAACAACTTTTTAGAATAGGTTGTTATCTGGGGAGTAAACGAAAAAATGAACCGATCCGAATCATTTTCAAAAGCGTTCGTTCTTGGGTCAAAAATTACTAGCTGTAGCTTGAACACAAATTTGCCTGGACAGACGGACAGACAATCTTAGATCAATTTATATAATGATTCCCGATAATAATAATAAAAGGTGGGTCCATTTTAAGCCCTTCTGCGTTAATATACCTTGTACCATACGTAGTGTAGGGCGTTAACACTTATGAGTTTTATGCTAATTCTAAGCAAAACACTTTCAAGGATGAAAACTTTTTTTATGATAGGCTTTGTGATTGATAAAATATATAGAATATCTTTCATTTATATTGCAGATCAAAATTTAAAAAAACAAAGAAAAAAACAAAAAAAAAAAAAACAACAAAGAATATTAAATAATAAAAAAAGCAAAAATCTGTAATCAAAATTTCATGCCAAACGAAAGTACTTAAAGTGTATTATAACTCTATTAAAAGATAATGTAATAAAAAGTAAACAATAATAAAAAACAAAAAAAGAAAGAAGAAAGAAGGAAACCAAAAACACACAACTAAGTTGCCTTACAAACCGATACTTCCTTATTATTATATATAAAAGCAAAAGAAATAAAAAACCAAAAATTATAAAAAAAATAAATAAATAAATAAATAAATAAATAAATAAACAAACGTCAAACATAAATCAAAGACCTCTTGTGTGCATATATATATATATATATATATATATATATATATATATATATATATATATATAACCCTTTTTACGTGCACACACACACACACAAACAAATTATTATAATCACATATATATTCAATGTATTTATTTTTTAAATCGTAAAATATTGAAAAATAACAATAATAGAAAAAAAAAAAAAAAAAGAGAAAAGAAAGAATAAAGAAAACAAGATGAAAAGCTGTGGACATTGCCAAACGCAGCAGCAGCAGCAACAACAACGCCAGCAGCAGCAGCAGCAACAGCAACAGCAAAAGACAATAAATAATAAAATAATGAATTCCTCACATGTTATGAAAGCGTTCCGTTATATGAGTGCAGCCGCACCAACTGCTTCTACACCCAATCAGTTGTGCCAACATCAATTACAACATCAACAGCAGCAACAACAACAACAGCAGCAGCAGCAGCATCAACAACAACGTTGCTCAAGTGTCGGCAGCACCGGTAGCAGCATATGCGATTCACTCTCATCACATTCTGGTTCTGCTCTATCGCCTACCGAACCATTGACACATCACCATCCACTAACTGTTTCGCCAGTGACAACCAACAAAGGCAAAAATATTATTAATGGCATTGGCGGGGGTGGGTGTGGTGGTAGCAGCGTCAATGGTGGCAGTGGTAGCGGTGGCGGTGGCGGTGGCGGTGGCGGTGGCGGTGGCGGTGGTGTAATGAATGTCATCAATTCTAGTCTTGTGCATTCAAATGCGGCCGCATTATCGAGCACATTAACAAGTGGCATTGAAATAGCCGCGCGTACAATGCCGACAGCAGCAGCAGCAGCAGCAGCAGCACCAACCATGATGCCAATACCGCCGCCGCCTAATATTCAGGCGCACACAGCTCCGCCAACCGGTCCCCCACCGCCACCGCCTGCAACCTCAACATTACCACCATTAGTTGGTGGGTTAGGGGCCGCAGCGGTGGCTGCTAACTTGGCCGAATCTTTCTCATTGTTACACCAGCAGGCTCATCATTTTCGTGATATTCTCTACGCTGCTCATTTACTAGGTCGAGGTAAAAAAGAAAACTACGGTTTTTTGTTTTGTTCTACTTTTACCCAAAAAAAAAAAAAGCAAAAAGGCAAAAAAGCAAAAAAAACAACAAAAAAAACCGAAAACCGAAAACAAAACAACTATCTATTGTATGAAGCATAACCATTAGCATGACCATTAGGTACGTTCGTGTACATAATTATACAATGCAAATTTCCATTATATTGTATTATGCAATCGCACAAACCAACAACAGTAGCAGCAGCAGCAGCAAAAGTGCAGAAAGCAAAAGGCGTTTTATTGAAATTATCCTTAACCGATAGTCACATTAGTATGCCGAACATATTTGTAAACTATTGACACCCGTACTACAAGCGTTAAGCGTAAAGTTTTCAAGTATGATGAAACTCGATAAACTTGAATTTGAATCGAGGATAAAGATTCTTTATATTTTTCCATTAACTTTTCAATGCAATAATGCAATGATATAATGATGCAATGATGATGAGCTTTAATGCTTTACATATTTGTATTGCTTTCATCAATTGCCATCAAATGGCATCAAATGGCATCAAAAGCAACCGAGCATTTCGATCTCTTTTGGGCCATTAATCATTTCATGTCATCATGACAAACAACAAACTCTAATAACAATTTCTCTACTCTGCCAGCGCGATATTAACAACAAATATTGCATGGCGTGCGCTCTTTTTGCTACAAGTATAATCGCTCTTGTTGCCCCGTAACATGTTGTGAGATGGCCATAAAAATGCCACATGCTGTCTGCATATTGTAGCTTAAGTTTGCGTGCATTTCACTTGACACTTTGATCAGTCAATTGTTAAGGATTAATTAAATGCATGCATACGAGTATGCGTTCGTCGTATCGAAAGCAGCCGCAGCAGCATATGTATATATAAACACGGATTATATGGAATTGTTTGTAGCTAATACGAAATTAGGTTAATTACATTTTTCGCATCAATTCAAGGAAATCGATCCGTTGTCGGAGATTTCTCTCACTTTTAATACTAAGACTACTAACGTTTTCCTTCCTCCAAAATAAGAAAAAATTGTCTCGTAAATATTTTTTTGAATTCAAGCTAACAAAAGAGAGAAAAAAAAAAAAAAAGAAAAAAAACTAACAAATTTTTTCACTTTCGTCTCGTTTGAGCAATAATTCGCAGATCGCTGAAGTTGATCAAATATCGAACGTTACCCAAGTATCTTATCTTTCCAATCGTATGCAAATAATTCTTAATTAGATTCTGTTTAATGCTAAGCGATGATATAAGATCAAATGCTTTAGGGTTATGTTTTCTTTGAGAAATTTTCAAGATTTTTATCGATATTTGGTTGATCGAAGCGCGGAGCTTTTGTGGATTCAAAATGCATTGCATTTTTTTTGCCTGAATTGCCGGAAGCTTCTTTTTCAAACTATTTGTGGACCGTAAATTTTGGCTATGCGTTTTCAAACGGATGCTAATGCGTCTTCTTAATGTTAATATTACCAAAGCTTAGCGACTCTAAATAATTCTATTAAGGAAAACGCTACGAAGTTTTTCCCTTATCTTATTATATCGCTAAAGCGCTTTCATTGGGAGCCTTTTTTATATGAACTTGAAACTGTAAATGCAATAATGGGTATGAGAAAATGTTACAGGTAAGCATGTTAGTCCTATCTCCTATTTCCTTCTCTGTATCCCCCCGTTTCTTCTCGTCTTTGTGAAGATTTCGAAATTTTAAAAATTTCGAAATTCCACTGGCCAGTGGATAATAATTTACTTTGGTAATAATAAAAACAATGAACATTTTACATTAACTTTTCAGATCCCTTTCAGAGTTAATTAGACGTTTAACAAACAAATTGTTACCCCGAGAAACCAGCATTTAGTGTATAGATGCGATTGTAAAAAAAAAATTAGAAAAAATTGCAAAAAAAAAAAAAATAGTACAATAGACAACAAACAACAAACGAACAAGCCAACAAACGGTCATTTATGTAACTATATTTATGCAAAAAGAAAGTAACGTCCCATGTAAAATAATAGAAAAAAAAAGAGTTGTAGATAAATACGTACGTATGTATGGATTGCTTCCGCACTCATAACGGCTCCGTTATGCGACCAACAATATATAAGTAAATAAAAACCTCACAACAATGGCATCTACCTATATACATATATATATATATATATATATATATATATATGCATATATATATATACATACGTGCGAACACAAAAACACAAACATTTATAAAATGTAAAACTAGTCAACTTTTATGGTGCTCGCATTCAAAACAATCGAATAACATTACAAACATCGTACTTGTTTAAAACAAGTTACTCTAGCGATCCGCAAACATTTTCTTGACTAGGCATCTTTGCAATATCGGCGCTTGCCATTTTCATTTCTGTTGATTTTCTTTCTTCTCGCTTTACTTTACTATTGACTACAATAACCCATATAAACAATGTGTATTGCAATATATACACAATCCTATAATGATCATCATTATCTTCATCAATAGTTTAGATAGTCGTTGCAGTTACTTTATAAAAGACGAACTCCTAATGTTAACAATACCTTTGCAGCAAGCAAAAAGAGAATAAGAGAAGGGGACTCGCAATACTTCAGTAGCGTTTAATATTTTCATCTATGTATTTGTATGTATGTAGTGTAGTGTAGTGATTTAATCAGAGATTTTCAATGTTTGTACATGCAGTCATAGCAATTCATTCAAAAACGAAACCATCTAAATCCCCCCCTCCCTTCTACCATCATAACAAAAAAGGAGAATGCATATAGAGTGGAATAAGATAACATGTATAATGTTTTTGTAAGAAAAACAAAAAAAAAATTTCTCGGAAAATTCTAAAAATTGTTTTTCTTCATTTCAGGTTATTACCAACCAACCGGTCCCCTGATCTCACCGCACGTTTTAGCACCAGTAACTGCAGGTCATCCACTTCCACCACCAAATGTGCCATTATTGCCAACAGCAGGGACCACTAAGGGCAAATGTTCAGCATCAATTACACCACCTACAGATCCCGAACATTCACAACAAACAGAAACACAAAGTGCAACAGTATCGGCGGAGAATACGGGCGGTGAAGGCGATTTGCTTATAACGGGTGGCGATTTGACGCCTTTCCGTTATCCGTCTCAGAGTTCAACAACGGCAGCACATCAACAACAACAATTTCATCATCAAGCTGCTGCCGCTGCTGCTGCAGCTGCGGCCGCGGCAGCCGCTGCCGCTCATCCAAATTCACCATATCCGCGTTCAATGCATGCCCAGATGCACTATTCGACGGCGTATCCTGCCAACTATTATTCGCCGTATCCCGGTGAACCAATATGCTATTCGCCGCCCGCCTATCAATCCTATTTTCCAACCAAAGTTTATCAGAGTGCTCCACCGCCACCGCCACCGTCGGCTTATAGGCGTTATCCATATTATCAACCGGGGCATCCACCACCCCCTGCAGATTTATATGATCAGGCACCACCACCACCACCAACGGCCGGCGTAGCCCAACAATCTGGTCCGCCTCCTAACCAAACCGGTCCACCTACGCAACCGCCAGCAGGGTCACAATTGGTACCGGCTGGTTCAGCAGCGCACAGTCAACATTTAGAACATTATCCTGGGCCGCCAAGTTACTATTCCGGTTACAGTCCAGGAAGCGCTGCAGCCGGTCAGTGTTATACACGCAGCATTCAGGCACCTTATATGGGTAAGGAAAAGTATGGTTCTCACTTAAGGCATCCAAAGCATACCATATACAAAATTAAAAATTCTTCGAAAACTTTTCTAGAAAATTTACACTTTGACACCTCTTCAATGCAATTCAAAATATTGTTCACAATTTTTATGCATTGCTTCCCTGAACCTTTATTTTGCTTATATTCAACTTTTTACATTTGCTTTCTTCTATCTATACAGAATATCCACCTCAATGTCCATGTCCAATGCAACAATCGTGTCCAAAAAACGTCCATACTGGGCCTCATATTGGTAGCAACAGCAATGGCAGCAACAACAGCAGTACTTCAGTCAGCAACGGTACCAACAGCGTAACGATCAATCACAACAATCAGAATATGATCGCGACCATTCAGCACAACAGCAACAGCCATAGTCACACTAACAGCAACAGCACTCAAAGTACAATTAGTAGCAATAATAAGAGTGGCGGCAATATGGTGACGAATGCGAACAACAACAGCAATGCGTTGAATATCAATAGAGGCCCAGTTAAAAATTTTAATACACCCCTAAACATCGACACCCAGATTCCAGATTCCAATAATAGTTTATCTTTGATAACGGCAACGGTAAAGACCGAAATGAAATCAGAGGAATCCGACAATAAGAGTCAATACGAGGAAAATGTTGTTCAACCATTAACACCTCTCGAAAGTTATAGCACAAATGAAGACAAACTTGCCGAGATCAACGAGATAGAAACTACAAAAGCAATACCTTTAGAAGAAGACGTGGAAGATGCAATAAACAAGCTGCAACAAGTTAATACTTCATCTCTTACCACACCAGGGCATTTATTGAATGCTACCACAATTGAAGAGTATGACTTGACAACCCCAACACCTCCCCTAATAAATCCGAATCCTATGAACGGTAGCAGCAGCTCACAACAACAATCGTTGGTCGGTAGAAGAGCACGCATTGGCAAATCGATGGCTTGGGAAATGGTGTATGCGGGTGCAGTCAATGCGAATGCAGTATCACCAGCACTGCAACCAACATATCCAACATCACACCAATCCGCAATGAATACATCACCAAATACTACCTCCGCATCCAATCACAATTTATGTCTTAAGCGAACATCACAATTTATTTCGAATAACTCCCCAACGCATAACAACTATTCAACTCAAATGGGAAACGAGACGTCATCTAAAAATATGAATAACAGCCCCAGTAGAATGCTGTCTAAGGGAGACGCAGCAGTGATCGCTGCTCCATTAATATTAAAAGCCGAAATAAAATCGGAGAAAATTAAACTCGAAGATGAGCTTCTAGACAAGGTGTTGCAACAGCAAACAACTACAATGCCACAACAACATTTGTCGCCTTCACCTCAAATACATATCAATCAGGAAAAAAGCGAACTTAAAATAATTAAAGCTGAACCTATAACACTTAACGAAATCTTGCACGAAAGCAAAGTTAAATTAGAAGCCGATTCGGGCTTGGAAAAGTTTCCGTCAGCGGAGAAAGACTCCTCAGATATTGATAGTGCTAAAAATAGTTCAAGCAACAAACCCGTAGGACGTATGCGTTTACTACCATCCTGGCAGCAACCAACAATTTCGAATCTGCCAATTATCAATTGCGACATAGATCTCTCTCATACCTCAGATGATGAAATTTTAGATTTGTGTCACAGCCCAGTAGTGCCAAGCACGGTATCGATTTGTAATGGTAAACGCATAAAGATTCTAGAATATAGCAAAAATCAGTGCAAGAAATCGCCTCCAAATAGTTATAAAAGTTTAATTAAGCAGACCGTGCCCAAAACGTATCTCTGTCTCAGTCGTAAGGTCGATAAGAAATCACGTTACGGTAAACTACAAAACAAATCCGCAAAGACGAGTTCCTGTAATAGCACAATACGACGAAGAGAATTGATCCTAACCGATCAACAGAAAAAAAGACTAAGAGTGAGAAAAAAGAAATTGGCTGCACTGGAGAGACAGAAACGGGAAGCCCGTGAAATGAAGAGAGCAGAATGCAAGCAAAAACGCAAAGAACCTAAACTCGATTCGAATAAATGCGATAGTCGAACTGATGAGCAAATTAAAATTGAACAAGAGACTATTATTGTTGATTTGGTAGCCGACGAGGAGGAAATTGAACGAAAGGCTAACAATTATAGCGAGAGAATTCTTATTTTGCCCACCCAAGAATTAGTACGTCAGCCTGTATTAGAAAAAACGAACAACATGCTCGATAATGTACCAATCAAGGCATCACCTAAACGGGGAAAACCGACAAAGAAGACGGTCGTGCCCTTACATTTAATCGAAACTATTGACGCAGTAGCAAGAGGATACTTTTCAGAACCTGAAACTAGATGCTCATTAACGATATCTTCGCCTATCCATGCAAATTTCTTGCAAAATCATGAAAAATCTGATCCGACTACCGCCACAACCACGAAAAAGTTAAAAAGTAGTAAAACGAGCACAGAAAAACGCTCAAAGTCCGAAACAAAAAAGCCAATAAAATCGATTCTTAAATCAACTTCGGATATCAAATCGTCAGACGCTTTAATAAAGCCGGTCTTAGAGATTCAAGCGCCCAAAAATAAAACAATTCAAATGTTGATTACCTCAAAGCAATTGGAAGCCGGTCACGTATTAGAGAACGAAAATAATAATAATGCTGCGGCGCAGCAGTCTTCCGAAGCAGCTTTAATTGGTTCAAAGATAAGCAAAAACTCAAAATCTAAAGTGACTAAATGTAAGAAAGAGCCCAAATCGAAAAGACAGTCGGAGCCAAATTGCAAAAAATCAAAACCATCGAAAGATGCAAAGAGTACCAAAGTGAATATGGAGACCACATTAACTTCCAATCAATTGGAGAACGAGAAAGAGAGAAATGAATGTGTTGCAGTCAATTTGGAACAGAGGCCGACAGACGAAACAAATAATAATGAGTATAATAAGACGGTCGTACTACATACAGAAGTGCCTGTTAAGATCGCAAACTCATTAGAATTGTTGGATACTGAAAATTCCAATGATGACCACCAGAGCTCAATTTCGGATATATTTCTGCGTGAAACAGATCAAGCAATCAAATTATCACAGCAACATTCCCTCAATACGTTGACTCCTGTATTTTTGCAACCCCCATTGCCTCCGCTACCGCGCGTAGTATGCCATTCGCATCATCATCAACAACATACAGGCAAACGAAATAGATCACGTTCCAAATTTGGCAGTCGCAAGCGACAAAAATTGAAACATTCCACAGTGTCTTTTGAATTGGATGAAACACTGCCACCAGCCCCACGTAGCGATGTGGTACCAAAATGGAATAACGGTTGGACTTGGGAAGGCGAACCGTTCCAGGGTGCTGTTTTTCTCAATGTAACAATTGACAATGAATTTTAATAATTAAAGCAAATTTTTTATAAGATCTCGTTTTCCCTTCATAGAGCGATGATCCTCTGGTCATACGAACCTGTTATCCTGCGATGCGACATTCGGAAGGCGACATTATACGTACAAGAGATTGCGTGCTCCTAAAAGCCAACGAGGATAATGAATTGCCATATGTGGCTAAAGTGGCACATTTATGGGAAAATCCGGAAGATGGTGTGTAAACACATTATATCAACAAACCCCAATATGAATAACAAAAATTAACTGAAATATGCATTTTAGGTGAAATGATGATGTCTTTGCTATGGTATTATCGTCCAGAACACACTGAACAAGGTCGTCAGCCTAACGATAGTCCCGACGAAGTTTACGCATCTCGTCACCGTGATCACAACTCGGTTGCCTGCATCGAAGATAAATGCTACGTGCTAACATTCAGTGAATACTGCAGGTGCGTTCATTTGAAATTTTTTTCAACTTCTCTATTTGCCAGACTGTACATCCCCTTCTGACTCTCTCTCACTCTCTCTCTCTCTCTCTCTCTCTCGCTGTCTCTCTCTTATTAATTAATCTGAAGGTACATGTGACCTACAAGGCTTCGTGATCGACACTTTTGGTTTAGTTTTATATACCGATCCGAACGGATTTGACTAATATTATCTGTCTGATATGATATGTGACGATGTATGTGTAATAGTTTATCTTCACTATTTGCGTTTTTTCAATGTTCAAGCGATTGTCAGAATTTTAGACAACCTACAACTATATCAATTCATAATTTTACATTAGTTGAGACTATGGAGAATCTGATGGGTATATGGCGGACATTATAATTGTGAACGAAGTGAGAAAAGTTTACAAAGATAGCTGTGCAAATTGTATTGATTCGTAGATTGATATAATTTTTCCAACTGCTAAATGCGGGATTTGCTTAAAGTCTTTATCTAAATTTCAATCTTTTGTCTTACGTTTGAGACCGTCAATATATAACAGCAGATGACAGATAGAGTAAATAATACGATTAAATATTTCAATTATCTTACGGTAAGCAAGCGCCCTCTATAAACGTTATGCCTGACTGTTCCATACAGAACGAAAAATCTGGTATAATCTCATCCATTATAGCGGTAGATGTAAAACTATTACGATTTATAATAATAATCAACGTCAAATGACGATTTTTATATTACAGATATCGTAGGCGATTACGTGCCGCCGAAGAAGACATCGAAGATGTCAACATTGTACCGAAACGCTCCAACTATTATAGTATGCGAACGGTGCCCGATAATACCAATCCAGAATTAGTTATGTTCTGTCGAAGAGCATATGAGTTTCGCACCAAACGTCTTCTAAAAATGCCAAACAAGCAAGATTATTATGTAGTAACGGCGTGAAATTTCCACTTAAAACTCTGCTGTAAACGTAAAACTCAAAATACTAAAGTAAATCACTAGAGAATAGTAACATAAACAAATAAAAAACAATATGTAATAGAAAATCTAAAAAGGAATATAAACAATTGCGGTCACACATAGTAAGAGAAACACATAAATATGTATATATATATATATATATATTTATATATATATATATATACATACATTCATGCATATATACGCCCCATACACATAAATACGTACATACATATATACATACATACATACATACATACATATATACATACATACATACATACATACATATATACATACATACATACATACATACATATATACATAC